GGGGGCGTCTCCGTTAAGTGCCAAAATAAACCCCAACCCCGGGGGGCGAGACCCCCCCATGTGTGCCCAGCCCTGCCCGCTGCCGGGCTCGCCCGTCTGCCCCTAGAAATAAACCTTCCGCCGCTTCCCCAGGCGTTTCTGTCCCTCCCCTGCCTGCGCCCAGGCCCGTGCGTGGCAATGGCGCTTTTTGAGGGACTTCGAAAACACAAGTAAAAATTGCGTTTTGGCAGGTGGATGTCGAAAGCGGGCTGGTCAAATAATTTCAAAATTGGGCGATGCGTGCAGAATTTGACTTTTGGGGACGTTGGCTTTTAGGCATTAAATATGAGGGGCTGCACGCATAGAAGGGGGGGAGGAGTAAGTAGAAAACAGATCTGAACCTTTTTTACGTTATCCCTTAATAAAGGGAATTAAATAGAAATGGTTCTACCCTGGCAGAGAGTTTGTTTGTTTGTTTGTTTGTTTAAAATATAATCTAGAAGCATGAGAAGTTCTCAAATGTTAGGATGAGCTGTTAAAACCATAAACATAAATTCTCAAAAGCATGGTCCCGAAGCCAAGTATTTGTTCTGGGCCAGGAAATATGTGTTTAAGATCTTTAAGCGTGTGTGTTACAGGGCCATAGCTGGTGCGACCAGTGGACTTAAACTGCGTCGTTGCAAATCGGTGCAGAGCCCTGGTACTCACAAAGAACGCGGTGGGCAGAGGTACAGAACTGAAATATTAAGGCTAAGTGAAGTACTCTCGTACGTCAGCGTGGTCTGAAAGCAGGGTACGTGGCTGTGCTCAGGTGGACGTCGGTATTAATCTAAAAATAATCACTGAAACAAACACAGACTTGTGCATCTGGAGGCTCTCCCCCCACAAGGTAGCAAAACCTGCCAACCTTGATACGTTAAAATGCTAGATTCAGGACAAAATTCAGTATGCCGTGAGCTTTCCTGTTACCTCAGAAATAATAATATTGAGAAAACTGGATCGGGAAGATGCACTCTCTCGCCGCTTTTCCCTTACTCTGTGGCAGAGCCCACTTGTCCAGTCCTTACCTCCTGCATGACTGTAAGGATGCTATGGGGAAGCAAGTCACAGGCTACCGTCCAAGTAAGCAGCATCTTCTTCTCTCCCCTTGCCTACAGAGCCAGTCTTCTCATTGCAGAGGTGCTCAGGCTGGTCAGGCTGAATTTGGTTTTGGTAAATGCATGCTGGCTGTTCCCAGTCACCTTCTTGCTCTTACTGAGTCCCAGAGTTTCAGGTGAAGCTGATTGGGCATAAGTTCTCCAGATCCTCCTTGCCTCCGGCCCTTGGGGACCTCCCGCAAACACCATGATCATTCAGAGATGACAGAAGGTGGCCTCACAGTGACATTGGCCAGCTCTTGGTGTGCTTGGTAGCTTCCCCTTTGATCCCATGAGCTTACGTACGTCCAGTTTATCTAAGCGGTCTGTAACTTTATCCTCCCCTTCTGTGAGCAGCACCTTTCTCCCCCAAGCTTTGCTACTACCCATAGGGATCTGGGAGCCCCAGGACCACACCTTGCCAGTAGCGACGGCGCTGACATAGTCTTTTCTGCGTCCTGTGCCGCTAGGTACTCTGCCCCATTAAACAGCAATGCCACAATTTCTTCCTGTTGCTGATGTACCTACAGATGCTCTTATTGTCCTTCACATCCCTCACCAGTTTCAACTCTGGCCTGGCTTTAACCTTCACAATTTTATCCCTGCATGCTTAGATGATGCTCCTAAAGCCCCTCCTGGAATATATCTTAGTCAAGTCATTGCATGGAAGCTGTCTCTATCACTTGTATCAGGACATTTGGTCAGCTTCTTGAATCCTTATAGCAGGAGGGACCAGGACTGCTCAAAACATCCAAGATAGGGACACTGTGGGTTTATATGATGATGGTCTTTTTTACCCCTCTTTCTTTCCAAGGAGTAGCTGACACCTTGTTCAGAGTTGGGGGTTTTGGCCCCTGCAGAGCATCAAGCATTTTTTTCCATGGAACTATTGATGGCAATCCTGCGATCTTGTCCCTGGTTGGTAATGGGCAGCTCATGGCCCATCACTGCTCTGAGGTAATACTGCTTAGACGTGTCACACGCCTTCGTCTGAAGAAACGAATGCAATTGTGAGGAAGAGGCAGATGATGGCAGATGGAGGAAATGTGCAGGATGGATCCAGCTGGTGTGGATGCTGGGGTTTATGTATCGCGCTGGCTGGATGCAGTGGTATGGGAAGGAGACTCCTCTGAATAGGACACAGGTATGAAAAGACTCGGCTTTCCTTCTGTTTTGAGGAGGTGTGGGACAAATCACATTGGCTGTGGACATGTGGAGAATGACACATTAAGGAATGTAACCAGAGCAAATTGTTCTATAGCAGTGGTACATGGATGACCCGGCTTTGTGATGGATTTCACTTTGATTCTGGGGGAAGTAGTAAAACACTTTTAGGCTTTATACCACGTGTTTGCAACTTTTTTCATGCTGAAGTAGCTTGACTTGCCATAGGTTAACTGTGGCTGCTAGCATGCCCAAGTTGTTTCTGTTTGTTTCTGTTGTTTCTGTACTTCCTTGCCTCATTTAAGTATGTTACGTATTCTGAAGTGCTCAGGTATTAGGGTACTGAAATGCTTTCGCTGCCTTGAGTGCTTTCAGCTACTTTAGGCTGGTATAGCCAGCTGCTGGAAAGCAACTGGATCTTCCCAGCTGAGGAGACTCTGAATTTGGAGAAATCTGATTGGAATTCCTGACGGAAAAGCCACCACTCCCTCCCTGCTTCCTCGCTAATCCCTGCTGCAGCTCTAGTGCCTGGGTGTGGACTGCAGCTGAGGAGAACAAGTGGTTAGACTGTATTTTGCAGCGATCCCCTCCATGGAGCAGGCTCCCTTGAGATGCATCGGTTACATGACTGAAGTAATGCTCGGTAAAAAAAGTCAAAATCAACAAATATGGCTAATAACCTGGTTGCTACCTAGAAGCCCTGCAGAAAATCTAATCTTAGCATCCAAACATTTGGAAACAAGTGTCTTTTTTTAACTGCTGAAGGGGAACAAATACAACTCGCCTCGTACACAAGTTGTATGGAATAGGCAGTGGTTTCCAGCGGGAGGAAAAGGACGTTAAAAATAGAATCCCAAGCCGCGTTCACCATTTACTTGTGATGCTGGACAAATGCCATCGTGAAGCAAGTCTGCTGCATGTTAATTTCAGTAGACGTTGATGTCTCTTTTCAGAGCTTCATAGAAAACAGTTTCCTATGGAGATGTCTTCGTAAATACATAGAGAACACTGCGTGTGTCCTGTTCTCCTTTCATGTGAAAGCCCCCGATACAAATGACCCAATAATACTTTCTTTTTTAGTGTTGATTTCTCATAATTATGTGAGTGAAAATTAGATCGCAAAGCTCTGTAAGTGTAACGCTGTAGATGACGGGCATCTTTTTGTGAACAGTCTACCTTAGTTAACCCTCTTTAGACAGGAGGAGTACACCGAAGTGTTGCGAGCCTTTGGGAGCCAAGCCAAACGCTTCGGCT